ACAACAGCGGCGACATTACCCTGCAGGAGCGACTGAACCACCTAACCTCGGAGGGCACATGCGAGATAGTCCCCGTCCCCGATGAGCGAGGAGGGAACTGGCGTCTGGGTGTCCAGCTCAGCTCCTGCATCGTCACTGGCTGCCAAGCCTGGAAGGGGAGTAGGTCCACTTCTGCTTTCGCGGTTTACTCTTCCTGCCTCTTCTGCAAACAGGTTCATTTAACAAGGGCGCCTTGCCGTCACCTGGGGTGTTGCGCCACGAAAATATTGGATGACTTGCTCTTATGACGTCAGGAGCGTTTTTTTGTTTAATGGCACCTAAAGAGCAGGGCCCTTTCTCACCAGAAGTAGCATTTAGGAAAGGGATTGGCTGTGTGCCTACGGTTGATTGACAGGTGCTCTTCCCGTCTGGCACCAGTCACATGCTGTTCTCTCCGCCTTCGCCACAGCTCTAGGTGGGCCCCATGCCCTGCAGGTGCCTCCTGTGACATTACTTCCCTCGCAGGAAGTCATAAATATTGGCTGACTGTCTCAGGGTTGTGGGGGGTCCCCACTGCAGGGAGCTGCAGTGCATGGAGGGGAGGGAGGAACTGGGTGAAGGAACAGCTTCTGCGACCTGCAGGCTTGGTGAGAGTGCGTCTCTTCTGATCTGGCTTCTCAGTCTCGGAAACTGATGTGATCACTTAATATGGGCCCCTGGGATAACAGGAGAGAAGCTGGAAAGTGTGAACAGAGTGGAGGCCTAGCAGGGAGAGGAGGAGCCATGCTTTAGCATCAGACAGACCTGGGTTTGGAGACCACAGGCGTGGTAAAGATTAAGTAAAACCGCGTATGAAAGTGGTGTAACACAGAGCCGGGTGTACCGAGTGTCTATTGTGTGGGAGCAGCCAGTGGTGGCGTCAACAGGAGCCGAGGGCTCAGAGAGCCAGAGCTAGAAATCAGGGTGCACGCATCAGGCTCCACAGGGGCAGCGTTTGTTTGTACTATCTGATCTCTGTGGCATGCACGAGTACCCTGGCCGCCCACCGGAGTCCACGGTCACCTGAGCGAGGCCTCTCTCGGACTCCGTCCGGGGCAGCTTAGGCACTCAGTCCCTGAGGCCCCTTGCCGGGCCTGGCTGTTCCTGTGGTGATCGGTACAGCACAGCCCCCCGCAGGGCTGCAGAACCACACAGAGCTGCCTACCTGGACCCCTATGCAGGAGGACGTGGCTGGGCGGACCACACTGACACCAGAGTGCACACTGGAGTTGGATTTTATGGGAAGGACAGTAGGGGCCATGGCAGACGCCAGGCAGGAGTGTGGTGTGAGCGAGTCTGCTTGCTAGAGGACACAGGTGGCCGGATGGGAGAGTGGACGCCGCAGGCGAGGAGGCATGACTACTGTCATCAGGGTGGAGAGGAGGCCTCAATGATAGGGCAGCGGAATGGCTCCAGAGCAAGGTGGCAGGTGTCTGTCACACTCTCAGCTGGAAGTGGAGAGGCAGCGACTTCTGGGCAATGCTTTTCCTCGAAGAAGGGAGTAAGAGGAGTCTCGGGAGGGGCAGAGGGACGGGATTTGAAGATATGGAAACAATCATCTAGGTCTAGGACATACCAAGTTGAGATGCCTGTGAGAGACATACATGTGAAGGAAGCATAAGAGCTAACATGTTAAGCCCCTTACATATATCGTTTCATTTTACCAGCCCTATAAAATAGGTGCGGTCAGTCCCATTTTACAGATGAGGAAGTTGAGGCACAGTGAGATTAAGTTGACCGGTTACACAGCTCATAAGGGGCGAAGCCACAATTTGACCCCGGGGGCGTGTGGGCTCAGCACCCTCTTCAGCTCTTCACGTCTGACAGCTGGCCCCTGCGTCAGGAGCTCAGGGCAGAGCTGAGCTGCAGCTGTAGCTACAGAGTCACCTGAGTCCAGGATTGTTCCCAGGACCCATGGAGAGCCAGCCAGGGAGCGTTCATTGGACTAACAAGCAGTCGTAAAGACCACAGCTCTGCAGCGCCTCACTGGGGTGTGGTAGAGGGCAACAGGCTGTGTGTGAGCATAACCGCTCCAGGCCCATGGGCCCCTCCAGGGTGCTTTGCTCAGAGGAAGGGACAGGCAGGACGAAGCAGAGTTACCTGGTTGACTGCAGCTTTAGGACAAGCCCCCACCAAGATGTGTGGGAGCAGGCAGCTCTCAGTACCAACCAGCCCCCCAGAAGGCCAACCCAGGGCCGGGAGGGGTGCAGGCAGGCACGGCAGACCTACAGGTGGTCTGGAAGGGACCCCAAACTGTTCTTTGAGAGGACACTGCCTTGGCAGGACTTACCCAGAGCTTACTCTTCCTAAGCACTAAGTCTAGTGTCTTAAAAATTCAGATGAACCCAAATTTTAGAAATAGGCCCAGAGAAATTGAGTGATTTGGCCGAAGTTGTCCAATTAGATGTCGCGACCGGGACGCCGCTCCTCTGCCCGAGGATCCTGTAAACAGGTCCGAGGGACACACCAAGCGCCTCTACCTACTGGGAACGTGAAGCCACGACCTCCCTCTCCTTCCGAAAGGGCTCCCTCTGGCTGGAGGCCAGTTTCCTTCCCTCTCGCAAGGCAGGGCCTGTTGGGGGTTCGGCCAAGGCTTTTCTCTCTGGCCCTTTCACTCACCTGGATGCAGTGGGGCCTTAACTTACGAGTTTAATTCGTTCTGTGACAGAGCTCATAACTCAATTTACTCGTATGTCAAATCAAAAAGTGAACGAGTGAGACACGTGATGCTGGGCTGATGTGGCGTTCACTGTGACGTTCGCTGCTCCAACTAGCGGTGGGGTCTCTGAAGCTGGCTCGTAACCCGAATTTTAGCTCACAACTCAAAGCAAAAAATCGGTGAGAGATGGCTCGTATCTCGAAAAACTCGTTAGTCAGGACACTCCTAAGTCAAGGTCCCACTGTACCTGCAGCCAAGCTCTGGCAGTTACATTTATTAAGTGGGAGCTCTGGAGGTAAGAAGGCAGAGTGAGGAAAAGCCTGGAATAGGAAATCCTGCAAACCACGCGCCCTCCTGCTGTGGCTACTTCCTGCCCAGTGTTTGGGCCTGGAGCCCCTGGAGCTGAGAGCTTGCAGACAGATATTCAGATGCAAGACTGCAGGATGCTGACTTCCAGCAGGGGCTGCGCTGCTGCTGTCGCAGACATCACAGCGCATGTGGTCTTCTCTGAGGCTGGAGATTCCCAGGCAAAGGAAGAGCAGTTCCCCTTGGATTGTTCTCCCAACCTCTTCCTGGACTAGGGGCCCCAGCATGCTCTGGGAGCTCGTTAGAAGGACAGACTCTCAGGACCCCCCCCTCCCCCCCACCTCCAGACCTACTGAGTTGGCACCTGCACTTAGACAAGCTCCAGGGTGATTCCCAGTGAGGGTGCAGAGGGAGTGCTAGGTCCCTCCTTCCCAGAGCCACACTCCTATGTTTGCAGACCAAGGATATGGTACCCAGTAAGTTCACCCCCTGAAGTGCAGCTAGCAAGTATTGCAGCCCCTCTTGCTCCCTCAGACCTTCGCTGTACAGGACAAATACTCAGGCATCTCAAGGAAGAAGTCAGACTTCAGTATTCAAAGAGTAAAATGGGCTGAGGCTCTGGCTTCTGGGCACTGTCACTCCAAAGGTCCCCCCAGGGCACTGCTATAACCTAGGGCTGTCTGGTGTCTGATACGACCCAGATGACTCTGCACTACGAGTTCATCCACATTCATGACTCCCAGATTATTAAAGGACAGCTGGACAATGCATTCTAGACATTCTTAAGAAAATGTTTGGGAGAAAAAAGTCCAGGCTTACAAATGTTATCTAGACAGTTCATTCATGTGCAACAATCCTTCCTCCCCCAATAACACCAGATGTATAAGGCTGTCCTGTCTCCATAGCTCAGGATTTTGCTGATGGGCTGCCCTGCCCTGCCCCCGCCCCTTCCCCAGGCAAGCCAAGCATTTTCGGTGATTCCTCCTGGTGGTTAATACAACACACAGAAGGCAAGAAAATGATTTTTTTAGACTTTTTTTTTGGGATTTGTTTTTAAAGAAACTGCATACATCATCAGAGACAAACAATAATTTAAATCCCATGCAGTTTCTGTATGTACAAAACCTAGGCCATAGAGATCCAGTTTAACTTGTATTCTATTTACATCGTCTTCCTCATACAGCCGTCATCTGTTGCATTAGAACATGAGCGCGCGCTCCTATACAAAGACAAACTATGTACAGACACCCGGGGAGCAACTGGAAAAAGCAACCGGTTTGGGGATTAACAGACAAATGGGAAGAAAAAGCCATTTCACTTAAGGTGACCTTCGCACACTGGCTGTGCACAGGGAGAGCGGGCATCCACTCGTCGAGCACACACCACGATTTTCATTCAGCAAATATACACGTTCGGAAGGGGGAGAAAAAGAAACTCAGAGGTTCTCACCACAACTACCGTCACACTGTTTGGTTTCTCTAATCTGACATAAAGGCTAAAGTTTTAAACTTTTTCCAGGGCTTTGAGGGCCTTTGGGAGGAACACAGCAATCTCGAAAGAGCACGCAGGCCGGTCGATGGCACTGTTCTGTCGTAGACGGGCGGGGGAGGTTGGGGCAAGGTCTCCTTTTCAGAAGGAAACATTTTGATTTGAGGAGTTTCACACTTTCCCTTTCATGATAAGAGGCCCAATTGGAAATTTATACACACAAACTAAACCTTTATTTGAAAACAGCAGCGTTTTCAGACAAAGAAAGCATTGTAAACCAGCGAGGCCATCTCTCTGACCCCCCACTTCTAGTTAATGTCGATTTGTCATCTTGGGAATTAACACACATTTTCCAACTGTCAGAACAATGTGGCAAAAAAGAAATTTGGACGGATTTCTACAGATTTCCTCAAGATATCAAGAAGGGAAAAGGACAGCAGAGGGCCATGCTGTGGTCCACGGAGGTTGCTGAGCCACACAGTGGGTTTGAAACCACCCACATCTGGGGTGGGTGCTGTCACTGGCATGGAAGGTGCAACCCTAAGTCCTGCACATGGAAGACAGTGCTCTGTAGGAGGAGAAGGGGGACGTGTTCGACTCCTTCCGTGCACAGTGGACTGCCCAGTAGAGCACTTGGGGAGAAACCTGGACTACTGGCTGGCAGGTGGGCTGCAGGGAAATTGATTTGGGCCTCATGTCCCCAGGGAATCAGAAAGACCCAAGAAGCAAGGCCAGCAGAGAAGCCGCTGGCCTTGGTGGGAGGAGTCCAGGTCATGGAATGAGTTCCCCTAGGACTCGCTCCTGGGCCAGGGGAAGGCCTGTCCATCCTGCCTGAAGCACAGCAGCCCGTTAGAGGAAGCTCAGACTCAGCTCTGGGCAAGGCAGGCAGCTCCGCCCAGAACATGTGCCTGCTGCAGAGAAGTCAAACGAAAGAGCCCTACATCTTTCGTCATACCATCTGCACATTCAGACATCAGGAAGCCTTTTGGGAAGATAGTGCTGACAACCACACATTTCCCCTGAACAATACGTCTACCCACATCAAGAACTATTAAAATTCAGCCAAGAAAAAAGGATCTAGCGATGGGCAGGGGCATGTTCCAGGTGCTGTGAGGAAAGCACAGGACAGCCTTGAGCGGCTGGTGGGCACTGCTTGAAGCACTGCCCGCGCCCCCCGCACACGCGCAGCCCCGGGTGGTGCTGGCCGCAGGCGCTGCGGATGCCTGCAGAAGGTAAACGGTCTCCCTGGTGGGCGCACATCCCAGCAGTAACTCCCTTCCCACGCAGGTCAGGTCAGGTCGGGGTGGGGACTGGTTAGCTCTTTGCTGTGAAGGCCAAGCTGGCATCCTTCTAACTCCTGGGCACGTGTGGTGGAGAGGGGACCGTCACCTGGAAAGACTGTGGTAACTGAGACCACAGTGACTGTGGGAGGCCAGGCAGAGCTTCGAGATGGGGGCCCTACGAGCTCTGTCAGGAGGAAAAAGGGGCTGCACTGGGCCTCACAAAAGAGAAGTCAAACTCTCAGGGTTTGGGGGTCGTCCTTCCTCTCACTGCATGTGCTACCCTCGGGGTCTCTCGGTCAACAGAGCACTGCTTCCTGTGGTCCCAGGTGAGGGGGGCAGTTAGAGATGCATCTCCAATCACCCTTGCCAGCATCACGAGGGAGGAAGGGTTCCCCCTGGAGAAACATGAACAGGGAAGTACAGCACAAGGCAGGCATGGCTGCCTGCTGCCCAATTCTGGCCGATGCCAAACCCACAGAAACCCCTCAGTGCAAAGAAAGGAGACTGGAAGGCCATCACGTGGATCTAGAGTACCAGTCCATCAGTGGCCGGAAGACCAGTCCTTCAGGAATGGTTTCTGGCCTACATGTGTGGGGGCCTGTACTCGGGAGCCATTACTTTCCGAGTCACAGGGTCACCAGCCCAGGGGCAGGCAGAGAAGGTGAAGCCCGCCGCCTGAGGGACAGGATGGGTGTGAAAGTCACCCAGACTCCCCCAGACAAGGGCTCTTCCCTTTTGTTCACTGAAAGGAGGAGGGCTGGAGGGAGAGGACAGGGCAGCTGAGACAGTGCTCCCTCTCAGCACCCTCCTCCTGAGGGGACCCCAAACCAGAAGCCAAGCCTAATCGGCCAAACAGATGATTTGCTTCTCAAAGTCATTCCCAGGCCAAGCCCAGTGCCTCAGCTTTCTTTGGACTTAGGTGACAGGTACTTTTGAAGAAAGGTCGCTGGAGCCTAAGTGAGGACCGGGGCTGGAAGTCCTCCGTGAGGCCGCAGGTGCTCTCGGCCTGCCGGGGACGGGCACGGTTCAGGATCCGTGGTGGTGCCAGCAGCTCTGACCACGAAGCGGTGACCATCGCGTTTCTCAAACAGAATCTGATTGTGTTTCCTTTCCTTCTCCTTCTCCTTCTTTTAAAAAAGGCAGTTCAGAAGATTTACATCGTGATGGGACGTGAATAAATACCAGCACTTATGGTTCTTATAAATTTATGTTTTGAAGACAGCATAGCACTCAAGAGGAATTTGACTGTTAAGGTCGGTGAAACCTGGGAAAAGAAATAAATGAATCAAGACCAAGCGGCTGCCAGAGGTGTCTGGTTCCACGGCCCACACCTTCCATCCTCAGAGTCCTTGCTTCTGACAGCAGAGGGGGGTATACATCTCCCACAGGAGCCCTGAGGCCCACCGAATCCACCTTCGGTTTTGGAATAGTTTAATCAGAATTCCTATGGACTAGTCAGATGGCCCTGGTGGCCTGCAGCCTGGACTTGGCAGTGAGGTGGAGACCTCAACCTTGTGTCTGCAAGTCCAGGCACCATTTCTCAGAATGCTCCCCCAAGGGGCGTGTCTAAGAATTGTCATTGGTTCTGTCACTGAGTGACCCTACATAAGCCCATTATCTCTCTGTGCTCAGTTCCCCAAGCAGCACCACCCTAGACCACCTGGGAGAGTGACAGGGAGGCACAGAAGTGAACTAGGGCTGGCCTCTGCCAACTGGCTGTCAATCGACAATGATCTTTTCTCCTCGGCTTAAGTTTTTGTGAAAACCCACCTTGGGGTTAGTGGTGGTCTGGCACTTAGCTCTTCAGTGTGAATGAGTTAAAAAGTGGCTTTCAGAAGGTGGCTTTCAGCCGGGCCTTGAATACCCCGCACCCCAGTTTCAGTGGCCACAGTGAGAACTCAATGCGAACCTTTATCTTCTCCTTCACGCACCCACCACACCGCTGGGACCCAGAAACAGGTAGGTTGTTTGGAAGTAGGTATGACAACTTGAGAGGGAAAAGCACACCGCGATACTAACCTTGTTAGATGTCTACTCAGCTCATGAACTTCCATCTCAGTGCTTTTAAATTCATTCAGCTCCTTCCGGATGGCAGCCTGGAACGGAGAGAAGCCCATAATGATGCCGAGGGGGCAGATGGGAAGGAGCTCACTTTTTACTTTATTTCTATTTTTTTCCCTTTGACAAAGCCACACAAAATGGAGTTTTCACTGGGAGAAAAAAAGCCCAATCACCTGGGATACCCTTTAGACCTACTATGACTCCCCCTGCCCTGAAATCTAAACCGCGAATGATTCTGTATGGGAAACCTGGGCATGTGCTCTTGACTGGAATCGAACCCAGGACCCTTCAGTCTGCAGGCTGTTTCATCCGGCATCCACAGTGTGCACACCTGCCCACACTCCCGGGCTCCCGAGTACACATCTGAATGTCGCTTGGCCAATGTAGCTCAGCGGTTGAGCATTGACTCAGGAACAAAGAGGCCACCGGTTCGATTCCAGATCAGGGCACGTGCCCAGGTTTCGGGCTCAATCCCCTGTGAGAGGTGTGCAGGAGGCAGCCGATCAATGATGTTCTTCTGTCATTGATGTTTCTATCTCTCTATCTCTTTCCTTTTCTCTCTCTCTAAATCAATAAAAACATATTTAAAAAAAAAAGTCAACCTTTCACCTTCCTTAGGTAAACAATCTGAACTCATCACAGCCACAGCAGTGCCTCACAGTGGATACTTCTGGAAGAGGAGGGTCAACCCCCTTCCCTTTGATTTATAAACCCTCTCCTCTTTCATGACTCTTGAAGCTGAGACCATATTTTTCACCATTACGGGTAGATGGGATGGATGTTTTAGATAACTTTAGTATATTCTGTGATAAACTTGAATAACCTCATCCTTCTAGCACTGCCCACCCACCTGGCTGTAGCCCACCGGGAGTGCTGGGGAACCAGGTGCAGAGACAGGGAGGAGGGTCTGGGACACAGGAATACCAGGGCTGAAGTTTTAAATGTGTGCCCTTCCGCAGAGCTCTTTGTAAGGTTGGCATTGGCTTTGGTGGGAAAGTCAAAGCACTGGGAGTCTGAGGCTGGAGAAGTCTTTAGGGAGCATCACAGTGGCTCCTCTCGAAACGGAGCACGTGAGCATCTAAGGGCCAGTTAGAAGGAGGCTCCGTGTCCGGTTTCCCATCCCCAGCAGCCTGGGAGGAGCTGGGTCCGCTCCCTACCCAACAGCCTCTCGGAGCTGGAGTCACCCTGTCCTTCCCCTCGACACCTGCGGCACCCCTACCCTTGGTACCAAGCGCACCGCAGTCAGTGTGAGCAAGAGAACCCGGGCCAGGGCCCTCCTCCGTGGACAATACAGACACCACCGCCTGGGGCAGGCTCTGTCTGGGCCAGTTCCTGGGGCCTCACCGAGTTCCTGCACAGGAAGAGATGGTGCTGCATTTAAGAAGGGGCAGAGTTTCCCACTCATCAGGACCTGTGGGTTGACCCCATGTGGGAGGCCATTTCCGGAAGGTCTCTGCCTCTGACCTCATCAGTTTCCCCAAGGGCAGCGGCTCCCCTGCCCTTCCCTGTGCTTCCTCCTGTCTAGCAGGTGAAGGAGACACAGCCAGAGAATGTTTGGGGAAAGAAGGTGAGAAGCCCTCCAGCTCCTCAAGGTGACTGGGCTAGAATCACAAACGATGACCAAGCAGGGTTTAATTATAATGCATGGTCCAATGGGCAGGTAAGAATGGCATCATTTGCATCACTGCATTTCTTAACAAACAAACTCAACTTCTGATTGTATTCTTTCTAGTCGATGGAGGTCTAGTGCAGGGACGTGTTTTGCTGTCTCTGTGGTTTGTGTCTTTGCCACTAGGTTACAACAACTGCCAGGACAGTGGCCTCAAGCCCCTTTTGGTTCTGGGACACCCCTGTGGGTGCTGCAGCCAGTGGCTCTACCCGGAAGGTCAGCTGGGTGCCCCACAGGTGCTGTTCTTTCCTCTGGGCACCATCTCCCACACTGTCTTGCCTTCTCCCGTAAAATGGCACAATATTACATGTCCGTCTTGCTCCTTCTCCAGAGCGGTGAGGAATCAATTCAGTGACCGCTCCCAATTCTCTGGAGCCCTGGGCAAAGGTGGTGGGGACACGGCACTCTCAGCCTGCCCAGCGGGCACCGCATGCTCCATTTCCAAGACCCTGGCCACAGCTTTGCTGTTCATTTCAATACAGCATCCCAGGCAGCAAGCGAGGAATGCAGTGTAGGGGCAAAAACCTGGGTGTGGGCACCTGCCCCCCTCTCCTTGCCCCTCTCCTCACTTTGTCGGCAGCGGTGAGGCGGGTCCACGGCTTGTCCGCCCTGCGGTCATAGTCCTGGGCGTCAGCCACCTCCACGTAGTCGCTGAAGCGGATGAGGATCTTCCTTTCCCGAAGTTCTTCCACGGTGGGCCTCTGGCTAAGCTGCAGGCGGAAGAGGAGGGCACGGTCATAAAGAGAAGTTTGGATCGTTTGCCCATCGTGGATTTACAGGTGAGCAAAATGCGGTCCAGAGGCAACTATGCATCACACAGAGAGGGAGGGGCAGGGCTCCCTGCTCCTGCACCCGACTTTTCTAGGAGTGAGAGTGAGTGTTTTATTGTTCATTGAGCTACATTATCCCCGGAGCCACCTCCCGGCCTGTGCACAGCCTGGTTGTCTCTAGTAACATGGCAGTATCTTGGTCTCTGCAAGCAGCCTGTCCTGGGGGGCTGGGCTCTTGAGGGTTTTCCCACATTTGTCTCACTTCTCGAGTCAAGGTGACAGGAACCTTACACAAAGCTTTTACCTTATTCTGGATTTGTGAGTCCACATCTGTGTCAAATGCAGTGCTCTCTGAAAGGTGGGCCTGTGCATCACTTCACGTACAAAAATGTTTCAGACACAAAAACGCAGTCTGCGGGTCAGAGGAGACTCCGGCCCTCAGGGAGGTCAAGTGAATGAAAGGCCAGCCCACGAAGGCAGAGCGAGGCCCCGTTTGTGCCACGGGAGCCTGGGATGGGCCTTTCGGGTCACTCTGCAGGGGGGGGACGGAAACCACAGAAAGAGAACTCCGCCATCACCCGTGTCACCCACCGACACCCTCCTTTGTTCTTCAGTGGCATAGGCTGCCACTTCTCCTGCCTCCTCCTGGCCCCGGGCTTCTTTCTCTTGGAGCAACTCAGCTGCCCTCTCCTAGGATGCTGTCCATTCACGTTTCACCAATATTATTTAAAAGCAACTTTTTCTCCAGGCCCTGGACTGTATTTAGTCCTTTTAATGGAAGATGCAGTCAGATGCAATCCTACCACAATTGCCTACAGAACACACACACCAGGGAATCCGACCACCTGGCTGTTTCAATGTCTCATGCTGCTGCCATACACCTTCCTGGTGCCCGAAAGCTCCACTCGCTGCCAACGGCCCGCAGCGTCCTCCAGGCCAGTGGTGGGAAGACCTGGGGATCAGAGGCCTCTGAGGCCAGGGCAGGGCCCACCCGCCTGGC